CCAGAAACTGAGGGCAGTGACCTTGTGACTGTGGATTTCTACATGGTCTGTAATATCAATATTGACTTTCTCTTTGACCCAAATTACTTGAATGAATGTTTTTAAGTATCAAGACTGTTCATTGTAGAAGTCATCCTTGTGTTGTCAATTCTAACTGTGTGGACTTGCAGTCAAAGGGCATGACTAGATTGGGTCTACTTTTGAAACCTGGCTGAGACTTTCCTGTGGCCCAGTGCACATCCAGCAACAAACGCCGGGGCCCACGCTGACCGGTCTGTGTGAGCTGAACGTGACATGCATGCTGCACGTGTCATCTCAGTCTTTTTCAGTTAAACATGAGAATTGAAGCATGATCAGGTTTTTCAAATATCCTATGGATATTTAAAAAGAATGTTAACCCTTGGAGAGGCAAGGATATTGTCTTAGTCCGCGGGGACCCCACACCTTGCAGGGGAGGTGAGTGGGGGCAGGTCGTGTGTGTCCTCGGGGCCTGCTGCGCTCTCTGGCCTGCCTCATACCATCCTCCTGCCTCTGTGGGCACCCGGCTCCTTCCGGCTCCAGGCTCTGCATGTCTGGTCCCACCTCATCGATAAAGCCTTGGTCTAAAGGCCACAAGAGGACTGAGACAGGGCCCAACTCAAAGTGGTCGCCGGGGCTCTCTCCTTCTCACCTCCCCACTGTAAATCTCCACACAGCATGTACTATTTGCATCATCGTCTGTCCCTTTTCTGGTGTGTTCATTAATTGTCTTCGACCTCCGTGAGGAGCTCCCTGAGCCCTGCCTTTCCCACCTTGTTTACAGACTGCCAGGGAGCTGGCACTGAGCCGTGCTCAGTGGGCTGTTAAGGCAGCAAACGACCAAACAGACAAGCTCTGCCCATTGTTTCAACCTGGGGGCTGGTGCCATCAGGAACGGGGTACAGAGGGGCTCCGGGTGCTTAGTGTGGCCTGGCCCCCATGCCCACATCTGGGCCTGGCTGAGGCCACCCTGCAGGACTTGATTGAACACTTGCTTCCTGTGTTCCTGTTGTGGGGAGGACCCCTCAGTACCAGGGCCACGGCTGGGAAAGGACCACCCCTGAGGACCTCATGAGAACACTCAAAACTCAAACAACCCAAGAAAGCCTGAGCAAACATTGTGAACAGACACTTCAACAGATGGCAAGTAAGCACATGAAAAGGTGTTCAGCATCGTTAGTCCTTAGGAAAATGCAAATTAAAACCACAAGGACACAGCACCGTATATCTGCTAGAATGTCAAACATTATCAACCGAGTGTTGGAACCTTGTGGAGGAAGCAGAACACTCAGAGATTACCGGGGGATCTGACATGATGCAGCCACTCCAGAAAGGGTGGAATGTTAAACTTGCACCTACCGCACAGTCGTTCCATTCCTAGGCAGCCGAGAGAAATGAAAGCACATGTCCCTGTAATGACTCGTACATGAATATTTGTGGCAGATTTTTTTGCAATAGCCCGATACTTTAAGCAATGCAAATGTCCATCAACAAGTGAACAGGTGAACAGCACAATGGAGCGCTATTTACCAAGAGGAAGAAATGAACTATGGTTTCTCACCACATGGATGAATCGCAAGTAATTGTGCTGAGCGAAAAAAGCTAGACTCTTATCCCCCAAAACAGAGTACGTGCTATATAATCCATTTACACAAAATTCAAATAGTACGAACAGGGCACAGGAAGGGACAGGACAGACATTCAAACATAGATGAAAAACGTTGGGGGTGATGGATGCGCCCATTCTCATAGACGCTGCGATCCTTTCAGGGGTGTATGCACATGTCAAAACTTATTGCAATATATTCTTTAAATATGTGAAGTTTATTGTATGCTAATTATACCCCCAATAAACCTATTAAAACAAAATCACAACATATCAAAACTCTTGGAATGCAGCGAAAGCCATGCTAAAGGGAAAGTTATAACCTAAAATATATGCATTAAAAAAGAAAAAATGCTGAACATAAACAATCTGAATGTCCATATAAAAAAGCTACAATAAGCAGAAGTAAATCACAAAGATGAGACCAGAAAGAAATGAATTAGAAGGCAGATGTTCACTAAGAAAAATCAAGACAACCAAAGGCACAAGCTCCACATGCCTTGAAAAGACTAATGAGATGAATAAGCCACCAGCAGCACCAGTCAAGAACAGCAGAGCGCCCAGAGTCCCAGCTGTGCGGGGGGCTGTGAGGGAGGATCGCTAGAGCCCAGGAGTTTGAGTCTGGTCTGGGCAACACGGTGAGACCCTGGTCTCAAAAAAACAAGGGGGTGGGGGGAGAGAAGAGACAAATTGCCACTATCAGGATTGAAAAATGCATATGACTACAGATTTTGTAGACATTAAGGCTAGTAGAAAGACACTACTAACAAATTTATACCGAGAAACTTGAAAATTTAGATTAAATGTACCAATTCATTTTAAAAAGAACTGAACAAAGCAGATCTAATAGGAAATACAGAATCTGAATACTTCAATTATTTATTTTAAAAAATTAAATCTGGGAAAAAAAAACCTTCCTAAAAAGGAAACTCCAAGCCTAGATAGAGAGCTTTACTAGTGAATTCTTCCAAATGTTTAAGAAGAAATAAAACCAATGCTACATAAATAAACTCTTGCAAATTTTTTTTATTATACTTTAAGTTCTGGGATACATGTGCAGAATGTGCAGGTTTGTTACACAGGTCTAGAGGTGCCATGGTGGTTTGCTGCACCCATCAACCCATTAAGTATTTCTCCTAATGCTATCCCTCCCCTAGCCCCCCATCCCCTGACAGGCCCCAGTGTGTGATGTTCCCCTCCCTGTGTCCATGTGTTCTCATTGTTCAATTCCCACTTATGAGTGAGAACATGCAGTGTTTGGTTTTCTGTTCCTGTGTTAGTTTGCTGAGAATGATGGTTTCCAGCTTCATCCATGTCCCTGCAAAGGACATGAACTCATCCTTTTTTATGGCTGCATAGTATTCCATGGTGTATATGTGCCACATTTTCTTTATCCTGTCTATCATTGATGGGTCATCAGAATGAACAGGCAACCTACAGAATGGGAGAAAATTTTTGCAATCTATCCATCTGACAAAGGGCTAATGTCCAGAATCTACAAGAAACTTAAACAAATTTACAAGATAAAAGCAAACAACCCCATCAAAAAGTGGGTGAAGGATATGAACAGACACTTCTCAAAAGAAGATGTTTATGCAGCCAACAAACATATGAAAAAAAAGTTCATCATCACTGGTCATTAGAGAAATGCAAATCAAAACCACAATGAGATATCATCTCGTGCCGGTTAGAATGGTGATTATTAAAAAGTCAGCAAACAACAGATGCTGGAAAGGATGTGGAGAAATAGGAACACTTTTACATTGTTGGTGGGAGCCTAAATTAGCAAATATTTTTTTAAAGAGAACATACTCCTAACTCTTATGGTACCTGAATAATCCTCGTAGCAAAAATTAAACAGAAATACTACAACAAAAGAAAAAAATCACACATCATTTTCTTTTTTAAATGTATTACCAAACTAATTCCTGTGAAATACAAAAAGAATAATATATCATGATAAAGGTAAGTTTGTTTAACCCATGGTTAATGTAACATATGAAAATCAAATCATCTATCATCTTAATAGATACCAAAAAGAATTTCATAAAAGTCAACACTTATTTATGATAAAAAGCAAAACCCTTAACAAATTAGGGATAGACTGGGCTTTCCTTGATCTGATAAATAGCATCTACAAAACCGAACATCAAATATTATATTTAATAGTGAAATTAAATGTGGAACACGTTTGCTCTGAGTCCATGAATGAGACAAGATCCCCATTGGCCACCTCTATTCAACACTGGACTGAAGGGTCCCAGTCCACAAAATAAAGCACAGAAAAAGAGATTAAAGGTACATGGATTGGAAGGAGAAGATAAATCTGAATATTCACGGATGACATGATTACACAAGTAGACATCTAAAAGATACTTTGGATTCAATTAAGAAGAGTTTTTAAGAAAAAAGAGGAATGTTCTGGCGTGAGGAGCTCTGCAACGCACTGCTGGGTGCAGAAGATGAAGATGGCACCACGTGTCTCTAAACCACAAACGTAACCACTGATTTCTATACATATTTGCATTTGCTGTAATGTGTGAGAAATCTGAAGGTTACCCAGCACAACCGTCCACAGCAGATGGCCCTCGAAGGGGCTGGGGGTTAGAGCCAGGCAGGGCCTGGAAAGACTGGATTTTATACGGATGTGGAGGACATTGCAAGAGAAAGGCATCCAAGACGTTCTCACGAAATCTACTACAACTGTACAAGAGAATGAAGAGCTGTGATTTCGACAGCCAGCTGGTGGATCTCCTCCTCAGGGTGCTTTACAATGTCATCTCCTCCAGTGGAAACACAGCCTCGTCATATCCCTGAGAAACGGGTCTGTTGGTTCCTCCCTCCACACGTGTAGACTGTCCCTCCAGGAGGTTAGACGCCTCCCCTGAAACTGGCGCAGGAGACACCGCATGACCAAATCGGCACGTGTGCAAGTTGTCCCCAAAGCACATTTGGCAAGCCCATAAGATGGAGATGCACAAACATGTCAACCAGAAAGCACCTGGCAACGTTCAAGGCATCTAGACACTGAAGCACCTCAAGCACCTGCAACAGCAGCGCAGTTCCCACAGGTGAGGAAACAGGCTGAGCGAGCTGCAGCATAGGCCCCTGCCAGACCCACGGCTCCCAGCACACCCAACAGCCCTCTTCTCCCACCCCAGGGCAGGCCTCTCCGATGGGGACTCCAGCCACTGACTCTGCCCTCATTAGTGTGGCCCTGCTCTCCCCTGCCCACGGGTCCCCTTGCATCCATGAACCCTGTGGTCAGCCCTTCTGAAGCCAGGCTCCTGTGGTCAGAGTCCCTTTCCACTGCATCCTGTGGTCAGCATCCATAGCCCACCCCAGAGCTCACCCCTGAGCTGGAGCACAAACCCACCTGCTGTTTCTGTGTCCCCCTTCACCACACCTGCGTCCTCCTCATCCTGGGGCACGGCCTCAGCCTCCACGATTTCCTCGTACAGTCCTGCTAGCGGCATTTCCCCAATGACATCATAGATCGCTTCTTCAGGAGATGCCTCAGATCTTCCCAGACCTGAAGCAAGGTGAACATGGTCACACGCAGGCCCTCAGTGTGGACGTGGCCACAGGCAAGGGAGGGCAGCGACTCCAGGCGGGAACCCCACCCAGGCAGCAGAGAGGCAGGACGCTGTTGGCTAGGATGGGGGGGCCACAGGAACACAGCCAGACCCCCAGTGCCCTCCCATCCCTGGCCACCGTCCCTTGTCAGTCAACCACATGATGCTTCCCGGTGAGCCCCAGTGTGCTGCCTGGGGGAACCTTCTAGGGTTCAGCTCAGTCTTGAGGACTGGAGGCTGATGCAGATGTCTGCCACTCTCTCTGGCCAATAAAATGAGCCCTAAGTGGCCAGGCACGGTGGCTCAAGCCTGTAATCCTAGCACTTTGGGAGGCCGAGACGGGCGGATCACGAGGTCAGGAGATCGAGACCATCCTGGTGAACACGGTGAAACCCCGTCTCTACTAAAAAAATACAAAAAACTAGCCGGGCAAGGTGGTGGGCGCCTGTAGTCCCAGCTACTCGGGAGGCTGAGGCAGGAGAATGGCGTAAATCCAGGAGGCAGAGCTTACAGTGAGCCGAGATCCGGCCACTGCGCTCCAGCCTGGGCGACAGAGCGAGACTCCGTCTCAAAACAACAACAACAAAAAAAAGCCCTAAGTGAGACCAGCCTGCAGGCTGAAGCAACTGCCTTAGATGCGGACCCACCATGTTGACTTCTGACCAACTCGAGCTCCGGGAAGGCCTCTAAGATTTCTATTTTATCTACTGTTCCTTGCATAAGAGCATGCATTTACCGTAAATCCTGCCCTTAAGCAATTGTCCTGCACGTCCCCTTCCCCTGGGGTATAAAACTTCTAGTTGTGAGGGATGATCATATAGGCATCCACCGTCTCAGCTAAAGGCCGTCCAAGGCACGGACGTCACTTGTCTTCATAAGTCCCTTTTAAGTGTTTCTCTCTAAGAAACTGGATTTGTCTGTCTCTTTCTTCAGCTTCTCAGTTCCCTGGACTGTGGGGGTAGGTCTGCATAGGCCTGACCTATGGAGCACCCCACCTGCCCGGACCCCAACACCAGGTTGGAGCTGTGAGCTGCTCCTGCTCCCCGCACCAGCTGATGGGATCAGGGTGGGGTTGCGCTTACCCCTCTGCATGGCTTGTGTGACTCGAGGCAGAATCAGAAAGGCCATGAGGCCCAGAAGGAGAAGACCAAGAAGGGCTCCCAGGATGACACTGACCACCCAGAGTGTCCGGAAGGGCGCTGCAGGCAGCGGGGAGCCTGGGCCAGGCTCTGAGGAAGGAGAGGTCGTGAGCCAGCAGAGTGGCCAGCGGGGACCTGCACACCCTCAGCAGGACAGGGTGGCCCCAAGGGCCCAGCCACACCCTCTCCCTCAGGGGGACCTGCGAGTCGGAAGTGCTGGGGGGGGGCATCTGCTGCTTTCAGCTGCGCAGAGCACCCCAGAATGACTAGTGTCCACTGGGGGGGTCTGCTTTCCAGGGACAGCCACCTTCCTTGGTAAAACATAGCCCCCAAGCAGATGCCAGGGCAAGTCACAAGAGGTGACCAGAGCACAGAGAATGGGGGCGGCTCAGGGAAAGTTACCCACTGCTGCTATTTGTGCTAAGGTCATCGCTGTGGTTAACTGTTTGTTTTCTGCAAAGAGAATGAGGTGCAGGCTTTGGGAACAACTGAACCTGCCAACACCCAGGTGACACGTACCCGAAATGAACAAGCATTGGAATAAACAAAAGGGAATTCCCAAAAAAGATTGGAGGAAACCTCAGGGGGTGCATGTCCCAAACAGGCCTCCACAGCAAATCAGCTTATCCCAGAAAAATCCCAGGGTGGAAACCAGCCCGCTAAAGCCTGGGCGTGCTCTCCTGCCCACCGAAGCGACGGAAGCAACACTCAAGACCGACTCCATCCCAGCGGCCTCTGCCGGCCTCATGACCCATCTCCCACCGCCCCCCACTCACCCAAGCAGCGCACGCCCGCGTCCTCCTTGTGCGCGCAGTCTCCGCGTCCCCACCGCTCCGCAGGGCAGCCCCGCAGGGACGCCTCCGCATGCCCCGGCACCCCACCTCGTCCAGCCACACCGGTCCGGAGCCAGGGCCAAAGGCGGCGGCCCCAGGGGGCGACGGCCCACCACAGCCCAGCTGGCGGCACACGACCTCCGCGTCCGCCAGGTTCAGCCGTCGTCACAACGGTGCCCCAGGAGCCCGCGTGGCAGAGCTCCACGCCCGGAGCAGCGGTCCTCGCCCCGCGCACGCGCAGCCGCGCGCCCTCCTCTGGAACGGGGGCTGCCGTCACTGCGGGGCTGGACCGGGATGGGAAGGAGGACAGGGACAAGGACAGAGGGTACCTGGGCAGCCGAGCGAGGAGGACAAGGACAAGAGTACCTGGGCAGCCCGAGCGGAGGAGGAGCAGTTGAGGGGCTCCCCCAGGGTCCTCAGGAACTTCTGCTGCCTTTTCTGCCACAGGAAATGGGACCCGTTTCTGTATTTGAAGCTCAGCAGCTAAATTATGTACAATATTTTTCGTTTCCTTTTCCCTCTGTCTCCCCAAACCACCAATTTCTGCTAAAGGAGAGAACCCTCTGTTTAAGCAAGGGATCTCCACATGGGATTACAGATTCCACAAACTGTGCTGGAGACTTTTCCAAGGGGACGTCTCCCTGTGGGACGTCCTCAGACCATACCGGGAAGTGCCGGGGTCCTGTTTCCCTCACTGGGGGAGATCACCGGGTCTAGGAAGACCCAGATGTTCCCCACCCAGCCCAGAGCCTCAAGCGCAGGACCCCCACCTTTGACTGGACCAGCACAGGGCAGACTCATCCAGAATAAGGAAAAGGGAAACTGACATTTCATCTCCCAGGAAAGGGCCCAGGCAGACACAGTGTGGGGCCCTCAGAGGCCCCTCTCCCCACCACTCCCCCCACACACAGGCCCACCACTCACCTGTGCACAGGACCCACGCTTCCTCTCCACTGGAGCATGATGCTGGTCCCAGGGCTGATGGGCACTGCCACAGGGACCGGTCATGCCTGTCCCTGCACTGGATGGAACCCACCCAGAGAAACTCAGGAGCAGACCAGCTTCCTGTCCTGGCCTGCAGCTGCCCGTGGGCCCACAGCCCAGCTGCCTACACAGGACCTCAAGGGAGGCCGCACTCAGGGTCGGCAGACACCACCCCCAGGTCCCATTGTAGAAAATTTCCAGCCGCCCTGCGCATGGCTGCCTGTGTCCTGAAGCCTCAGATCCGTGAACTCTGCAGAGAGACAGGCCAGTCAGCAAGGCCCAGCTCGGAGGCGGGTGGGGACGACAAGGTGGAAGCGCTGCAGGACCTGAGCAGAGGACGCCGGCGCCTCCTTGTGGCTGCAGTCGTGCTGGCCCCAGCCCGCCGACGGGCACTTGCCCACATCAGCAGATTCGTGGCCCTGGCAGCCCAGCTCATCCAGCCAGATGCGCCCTGCCCCGGCTCCGAAGTGTGCGGCCCCCAGGGCGCTCAGGGCGCGGCCACAGCCCAGCTGCCTGCAGACCACGTGCGCGTCCTGCAGGTCCCAGGCGTCGTCACACACGGTGCCCCACGCGCCCCCGCGCAGCACCTCCACGCGCCCCGCACAGCGCCCCGGCCCCGCGGCCAGCCGCACCCCGAGGCTCCCTGTGGAGAGACAGAGTCAGGGCGCCCAGGACCCCGCGGCGACGGGCCATCGGGGATGCGGTTCTGCCCTCACCAGAGCACACCACGCCGGCGTCCCGCGAGGTTCCCGCGGGCTCCTGCAGGGTCGCGGACACGTTGCACTGAGTCAGGCGGGTCTCGGTGCCCAGACAGCGCGCGCGGCTCAGCGACACCTGGACGGACCCGCGGCTGGGGGCAGGTGCGTCATAGGCTTGTTCGGCCGCTCCGCACCCGAGCTGCCGGCACACCACGTCCGCGCCGCGCAGGTCCCAGGCATCGTCCAGGACGCGGCCCCACACGCCCTCCAGGGAGACCTCCACGCGGCCATCACAGCGGCTCTGTCCTTCCCTCAGCCGCACGGCGTGGGGCAGACCTGGGGATGGGGACGCACAGGGGACCCAGGGTGTCAGCGGGAGGGACCCGGAACCACCCCACAGCAGGGCCCCTCCCTCTCCGCCCCCTCTGTCCATGCCTCTCACCCACCCTCCTCCTCCACCGTCCTGGCTGCACCCACCTGAGCAGACCGCGGAGGCTGAGTTTCCCGGGGCACAGGCCGGGGCCCCCAGGGTGCTTACTGGGCAATTCCACAAGTAGGGTTCTGTCCCCCCACAGTGAAATGCGTCAGGCCAGATGGCAGCATCCCCGTCCCCAAAATGGCCTCCTCGAGGTGTGGCCACCGCACTGCCACAGTTGAGCTGATGGCAGAGGACGGTGGCATCTGCTATGTCCCAGTGGGTGGCACAGAGGGGCGCCCAGGACCCCTGCACCTGGAGCTCCACGCGGCCCTCACAGCTGCTGCTGCCATTGACCAGCCTGAACTCTGGGGGAGAGGAAGAGTCAGCGTGGCTCGCACACGGCAGACACTGTCTGCACGTTCCTTCATGTGAGCCTGAGCCTGGTTACACAGCCCAGTACTTGGGGGACCAGACTGAGGGCATGAAAACAGCTTTGGCGAGTGACGTCACCACAATTGCCTGGGAAATCAAAAAGTGAAGGGCATCATCCCTTCACTTAGGCAGTGATTAAGTTGGGAAAACTATGGAAATATACTTTGTCAGTGCTCTGGAATGCACCCAACACAGGGGAACGCTAATAAAGGTGAAGCTGCTGAATGTTGTCTCCAATAAGCAGGCAGTGAGCACCAAGACAGAGCTCCACACACCCTCTCAGATCCCGCTTCTCATTGCCAGCCAGAGCTCTGGGAAACGGGGCAGCACCCCTGGCCCCAGTCCCCAGGCCCCACACATGCTGCTGCACCTGGTTCTTGGTGTGAGCCTAGTTAAACATACCCCACACCCTGCACTTCAGAAGAAATGCCTGAGGGTAAGTAGCAACAACAGTATATGTGGCAGAGTAAGGAATCCCAAAGCTCCATCTCCCTCTAATGTAATGACTAGATGGTAAAACTCATAACCAACTTTTTTGAAATTCTAGTATCTGGGAACAACTTGAAACCACTTAAGGAAGAAAGAAGTGGCAAATTTGATTCTGCATAAGGAACGAGTGAAGAATAATGCCTTAGTACTGAAGGTGTGCCCCAACAAAGAGCTAACATGCAAAGACTGGAAGAGTCGGGAGTGCTTGTTTGTCTGTTTTTTACTATGGGCATTTAAGGAAACATGTCTAATCACTAACTCCACTAACCAACAGAAAAGAGACCCTAGTGGTCACATGCAACAAAGAGTCTTTACAAAAGGAGTTTAGAAAAGTCATTAAACAGGGCCGGGCACGGTAGCTCATGCCTGTCATCCCAGCCCTTTGGGAGGCCAAGACGGGTGGATCATGAGGTCAGGAGTTCAATACCAGTCTGGCCAAGATGGTGAAACCCTGTCTCTACTAAAAATACAAAAATTAGCCAGGCACAAAATTATTACTAATTACTAATACAAAAATTAGTGGTGGGTGCCTGTAATTCCAGCTACTCGGGAAGCAGAGGCAGGAGAACTGCTTGAACACAGGGGGTGGAGGTTGCAGTGAGCCAAGATCACACTGGTACACTCCAGCCTAGATGAAACAGCGAGACTCCATCTCAAAGAAAAAAAAAAAAAAAACAGCAACAGCTAACCCTGGTGATAGAGAAAAATGTGATTTCTAGAGTTGCCACAGTATAATAATTCAAAATGTCCAGTTTCCAACAAAAAAGATGAGACATGCAAAGTAACCATAAATTATAACACATTTATAGGGGGAAAAGGGAAATAGAAATTGTCCTTGAGGATGCTAAGTCATTAGACTTACTAGATAAATACTTTAAATACATTGTCTTAAATATGCTCAAAAAGCTATAGGAAACCAGGATAATGATATCTTACCAAATAAGGAATATTGATAAAAATATATAAATTATAAAAAGGAATTGAGTAGATTTTTCTGTAGCTTAAAAAAGTTCAATAACAAATGAAAAATTCACTAAAAGGTTCAACAGCAGATCCCTTGAGCGAGCAAAAGATAGAATCTATGAACTTGAATATAAGTCAATTCAGATTATCTAGTCTGAGGAGCAGAAAGAAAAAAGAATAAAAAAATCAATAGATCCCAAAAGACCTGTGGGACACCATTGAGGATACTAAGAGATGCATAATCAGAGTCACAGAAAGAGAGAACACTGGCTTTTCCACGGAATAACAAAAAAAAAATTTTTTTTTAAGAGAGACAGGAGAAAGTGAAAGAAAAAATATTTGAAGAAATAATGGTAAAAAAAATTCCAAGTTTGATGAAAGATATAAGTCTGCATCCAAGAAGCTCAACGAACTTCAAGTAGCTTATACTTAAAAATATCTGCGCTGAGACACGTTAAAACCAAACTCTCAAAAGACAAATATAAAGAGAAGAATCTTGAAAGTAGCAAGAGAGAAGCGACTCGTCATGTTCAAGGGATCCTCCATAAGACCAATGGTTGATTTCTCAGCAGAAACCACGGAAGCCAGAAAGCAGTGGAGTAGTATATTTAAAGTGCTGAAAGGAAAATCTGGTCACTCCAAAATTCTGTATCTAGCAAAACTATCCTTAAAAATGAAGGAGAACTTTAAACAAAAGCTGAGGAAATTCATTGCTAGTAGACTTGTCCTACAAGAAATGCTAAAGGGTTTAATTCAGGCTGAAATAAAGGCACTAAACAGTAAATCAAAGCCTGATGATTAATCTAATAACACTGATAAGGATAATTACATAGGAAAATATAAAGGCCAACAGTATTGTATTTGGGGTTTGTTATACCTTTGTTTGTTCGTACATGCTTTAAAAAAATAGGCATGAAACAAAATTATACATTTATGTTAATGGACAATGTGTAAAGATGAATTAGTGACAATAACAATATAAGAGCAGAGATTTTGTATACTATTGAAACTAAGTTGGTTTTAGTGCAAACCAGAGGTTTGTAAATTTAAAATATTTCTTATGATCTCCAGGGGAACCACTAGAGAGAAAACTAAGAAATATACCAAAAAATAAAAAAATAGAATGGGAAGGGAGTGAAAATGGTACACTATAAATGTCAATTAAATGCAAAAGAAGGCAGTAATGGAGGAATTGAGGAACAAAAAAATAAGACATGTAGGAAACAAATAGAAAAATAACAGAAGTGAATACTCCTTATTGGTAATTACTTTAAATGTAAAGGGATTAAACCATCTAAATAAAAGGCAGGAAGGGACAAAATGGATTTTTTTAAAAACTTGTTTTAAAATGTGCTCTCTTCATAAATTCACTTCAGATCAAAAGACCATTAGGTTAAAAGTGAAAGTTTGGAAAAGATATACATGCACATAGTCACCAAAGGTATGTAAATGACAGAAATGTTATGTCCTCAGAGTTCTGGAGGCTGAGAAAATCCAGGGCAGGGACCAGCAGATTCAGTGTCTGAGGTGACCCTGTTCCTCATAGATGGGGCCTTCTTTGTGGTCCTCTAACGTAACATGAGGAGCAAAAAGAGGAATAAGGATGAAGTTGGCTCTTGAGCCTTTATGAGGGCTAATGGTCTCTTCATTGAGTGAAAATGGAGGCCTCACTGGCTTAAACCACCTCAATAAAAGCTCACCTCTAAACTGTTGCTTTTTGGATTCTATTTCGAAGCATGATTTGGGAAGGACATGAAATATTCACAACTGTTGACTAGGTTATTTGTCTGATATTGTATAAGCCACTTCAGCTCTCTTTGTGCAGCTAC